TTGTTTCTTTTATTTTTTCGTTGGCTAGTCATTAATAATTCAGCGGCGGAAAAAAGTTTGGTAAGAAGCGCGACTGAGACAGCCATATCGAGGCTAATTGCAGCCCATTTTTCCCTGCTTTTTGTTCGCTCGTCTTGGTGACAAACATGCGCTATTGCGATTATCCGAGAGCGAACTACGAGAGCGAACTACGACTGCACTTCAGCTCGCAATCGAGCTGAGCTTTCCATTTTTTTTGCCCTCTTGCGTTTGCGCTAATCGAACTCGTTACTTCGACGTTCAAGCACTGCACTCGAAACTTTGCAGCGAAGAATTTTGACGTCCTTCACGCTCATCACATTGAAGGATATTTTTGTCTCGCGTCTTTGCAGCGAGGCTATTATGTCATTTTATGGCTGGCGACATCCAAAGTGCGTCACGAATAAGCGAACGCATTCGTCTCGGCACGAGTATTCGGAAAAAAGTGGCGTGGCGCACGATAAGCTCTTGGAAGCGAAGAAAAAGTCGTCGCGTTGTTACTCGTTCCGAGCGGTGACAGCTTGCTATTGTATTGTTATGCAACAGAGCTCTACCTACGCGTTTGTATAGCGGCGAATGAGGGGAAATTGGGCGACGCAGAACGTAGACTAGCCCTCGCATTCGCACGATTGCATCGTACGAAATGAAAATTTTGACGGATAACTTTTGCGAATGAAGCGCAGAAAAAAAAAGAAATAAAAAAGAAACGCGGTTGAAATTTAGCTTCCGGCTAGCCGAGGAGCTGAGAAAAACGAGGTCGAAGTTGGTTACTGGCATAACGCATATACGTCTCCTGCAGCAGCGCGCCGCGTCTGGCCGAACTCGAACCTTTTCCACTTGATCCAAGGCACTTCACGCGCGCGAACTCGGCGCCAAACTTTGACTCGAATTTTCTCGAGAATCCGCGCACAGCCAAGTGGCGCGATCGCACATCGCGGAGGCCGCGCGAGGCTGACTCCTTCGCGGAATAACGGGGCGTTAAAGCGAAACGTCATCGACGCGAGCGGTAGACGGCGCGGTAAGATGCAAGCTCGGTCCTTTGACAGGGTGTCAGAGTGAATAATTCGCTTTGGTAGAGAATCAGAGGAGCAGCGGGGAATTTCGGCGCGGCGCGCGAGCAACACGCCGCGTCCGTAGAACTCGGTCACTGGGTCAACGTACAGAGATCGTTTCCACGGCGACGACGAGCTCGTAAATAACCTCTTGTCACAATGCAATCTTGCTTCTCCCCGGCGGGCAAGATTTCTTTTTCTTCGCTTCTTTTTTTAGCATTCGCTATATTTGCTTTAATTAACGGGAGCATTGTTCCGGTGGGCCCCGCGGACGCGTCCAAAGAGGATTTCCGATTTTCTCGCTACGGCCACGCGGCCGTGTGGTCTTTCCATTAATACAGATCGATTTGAATTTGCCGTTAGTTGTGCGCGTTCGATTGGCTAAATGAATGGCCCTTGTTCGTCGCGCGGAAATTGAAATATCAGACTGCAGCGCGCGACGCGATGGCGAGTATCGGAGAAAAATCCAATTCGCACTCCTCGATCAACCTCATCAGCCCTTTTCAAAGCTTTCTGCCGCGGAATGCGCGCGCGCTTACAGCTTGCTGCTCGACTTTTATCGATCTCGCTTACTTTTCCCAAACTGACCGTTTCTCCATTGACGCTCGCGATTGATGTTACGATATCCTTTATTTCCCGAAATAAACTTAAGTTTTCTCGTTCTCGATACGATCAATTAAGAATGACGGGGCTTCGACGACACAAACAATACCGCCACTAAAATTTCTAGTGTGGCTATAAATTCTGGGCTTTTTACATGGTAGACAAAAATTCATTCATCAATTCCCTACAGATTTGCAACAGCGTTCATGTTAGAGCTTCCGTCGATACTTTATGTCAATTATTGCAAGAGCTTTCGTCGATATCGATTACCATTTCATCAACGATCTCATTTCCAACGATGAATTGCATTTTCCTATTTAACTAACTAAAGTAAAGTAAGTTTATGACAAATGTTGTAACAGGCGAGTTGTTATTTCGCACCGGTTCAACTAAGGGCACCCGCGCACGGGCACGGGGTGGCAGCACCGAACTGTAATGGAGCCGGCATTGACTCGCATACGAGAAAAGGGAAGAGAGGACAAAGAGTCGGAGTCAGGCAGTTTCGCGTTGACCGTTGCTGATAGGCAATACGCGTGCCCCATAAGAAAGAAACGGAAAAAAAATAACGAATAGTGAGCAGGTTAAATGGCGAGGAAAATTCGCTTCAGAGTAACCAGGGAGTGTTCGACACACCTGCCACAAGCTTCAGTGGAGACACCCGAACTCGCAGACTTTTCTTGGCCAAGGAAAGGACGGAGCCAACCGGTTCTTCGCGAGAAATCATTCGAAAGCCAAGTAAGCTGGCCAATCAAGTCGACTTACCGGCGGTGTACATTGATGACGACGCGCATCCGCGCACGATATTAGCGCTCGTATTTAGCATATCTACCTTCTACGGAAGAACTCGAGTTGAGGCTATCGCCTCCTGAACTTAACAGGACGCACTGGAAAGAACTTCTGGGGCAGCCGACCGATTTTACGAGGGCCCGGGCAATACCTCGGGCCCTCGTACAAAAATATACATCCTGTTACAATCTATAGAGGCAACTTAACAAGAATGTAAAATAATAAAATAATAGTAATAAATTGATAAAATTCAACACGATCAATACTGCTTTTGATTAATAAATTTTTCTAAATTATATTTTTATCAGTTCACTTACGGTAATGACATCAATACCAATAAGTAGTCAATATTCTTTCATAGAAATATGAAGTGATAGATTATTAGACTTTTCAAGCAACATTTTGATTAGTTTATTTACATTGTTGGATGTTATTCATAACGCTATCTCAGTCAAAAGTACATGAAAAAGTAATAAATAAAAGATTAAATAAAATATTAATAGAAGAAAACAATACCTGAGCACCAATTTGGATTTCACACTGAACCTACATCAATAACCCCGTTAATAGAGTAGCCTATAAATTCAGGAAAATCTTTGAAAAACAATTAATCACTGCAGTATTTCCTAATGTGGTTCAAGCCTTCGACAAAGTTTGGGGCATAAAGACCTACTATTTAAACTCAGTAAAATTATACTTAAAAATCTTGTTATACTTGTAGCTTCATATTTAAGCTGTAGAATTTTTAAAGTAAAAATAAATGAAAGCACTAAATTATATCCAATGGAAACCGGCCGGTACCCTTAAGGAGTCTTCTCGAATATTTATTGTATTTAATTTACGTCTGTGATGAATAAATCTCATAATCATGGAAGGTATAAGTATCGGTAGTTATGCAGATGTCACGGCAATATTGACCTCATATCCTAATGCAACACAAGTCTCTACAAAGATGCAGAAGCATTTGGAAATGGCTCGACCTTCGTTCAAAAAATGGAGGATAATGATTCACAAAGTATTATCTATGCAAGTAATTTATACCTTCAGAGAAAAGAAACTTACCCTTCAAGTTGCCTGAAAAAATAGACTAATACCGGAAGGAGGTAAAGTCAAATATCTAGGAATGTATTTAGATCACAGATAAACATGGCAAGACCATATCTGGACCAAGCAAAAGCATCCCAACCTACAGTACGAAAATTTTACTGGTTATATTAGGTAGAAAATAAAAATTTTCAGTTAATAACAAATTATCAATATATAAGTGCATAATTAAACCAATACGGACTTATGGAATTCAACTATATGCCACAACAACAAAATGAAACATTATTGGAAAATTTTTAAATAAAGCCTCAAAATCCATTTTAAATGCACCGAGGTTCGTTACGAATGAGATTAATACACGAAAATGACAACTGTAAAAAAGAAATAGAAGCTGTATACAGAAAATGCGCAAACATTACATCTGAACATCCAAATCGTTTAGCGAAGAATTTGCTTCATACAATACCAAGCGTTTTAAGAGTTTCAATTGAAACTTAATATTAGTAGTGTTATCATTTTATGTATAAACATAACGTAAATATGTAAGGATACGGTATGAATTAGTAGAGAAGTAACTTGATGTATAATTTTTGTAGACAGATTGTAAATAAAGTTGGTTAAAAAAAATCATGACGTTGTTATGCATTGCCCCACAGTCAACTATGCAATATTATAAAGATCCACAAAGTCTTACGCATCTTGCTCGTGCGCATGGTCATATCGCTCTATTAGCGGTCATTGCTCTTAGACTTCTTGTCGTTACTGTACTTGGCTGGGAGGTCTGAGGGAGTACGCGCGCTGGTTCGCTCTCTCGCCTAGGGGGAGCAACATCTCGAAGCCGTTCTCGGTTTCTTACTCCCTTGCTTCCTGATTTGCGTGCGACGACTAATCACTTCGGCGGATAGAAGGACGAGAGCTGGAAGGACGATTATCGTCGTCCATCCAGCTAAGTACCAAGTGTGCTTTCTTTTGTTTTTGGACTTACCAAGTACCACTTTATCGATTATCATTTTACCGTTGAACTCGAATTAGGTGCGTAGTGATTTGACTTTAGCTATTAGTACCGAATAATACCGAATAAACTAACTTTTTTCTGTAACTGTTGTTAACCATAGAACCATCTACTCGCATTGCCGTAAATTACAAATTAAAATAGCTTTCGACATCGCAGTTCTACATCAGAGAAATTTTGCAACTTTGACATTATATGTACAATGTATCTGTTTTTTTACGATGATACTACCATTTTAGCCATTTTAGTCACGAGTCCAATGTTGCCCCAAGATATTTATGAAAATATACCCTAGTTAAGCGGCTTATTATTAATGTTTATGTTCAGTTCACGTTGAACACAGTAAGTCACGTAGACTGTTTTAAAAATATGCACACGATACGCGCGTGTAGCTTCGTCGTGGATTTTGTTCGGTCGATTCATTGGTGAAAGAGCGTATCAAAAAGCAATAATATTTGACATGTATTTATTATGATTTACAGGCAAAAGTGTAAATCCGCCGATTCAAGCTGGCGCCCTTCAAGCTCCGCTTCTCGAAGCTGTCCAAGTCGCGTAGCAGCGACAGCGGTGGCAGCAGCGGAAGTCGCAGCAACAGCGTCGAGGTGGAGGAGTCCGCAGTCTCCAATTCGCGGGAGGTGGACCTCAGCCAACTGACTCTAGGCAGCTCTGAGAGCATGGTGAGCAGAACCGAGTGCGGGCCCGACGCCAGCAGCGTCGTCAGCGTCAACACCGACTCCACTGTGCCTGCGTCGTCGCCACCTCCCTCTTACGAACGCGTACTCGAGGAAGTACGTGAATTGCGGGTCAGGCATATCTCATTCTCATATCCATTTCATTCTTTCGTTTGATTTTCTCTTCTTTCAATTTGTACTGAAGGCTGAAAGTCGATCCTTTTTACATTTAACGTTTAATTTGAACAACGTCACTCGTTTATTTCAGAATCTCACGAGAGTTAACGGGACGCCTTTGGTCATTATTTTTTAACGGTCTGTACTCTGTAATTCTAACAGCGTAGTTATTTTCAAATTAATTAACGTCAAATCTCATCAGGACGCGCTCATCAAAGTAAAGTACGTAAAACAAAAATGTCTTTTTTAAAGCATTTCACCTCATCACAGTTAACGAGGGCTGTGTAACCGAATAGTTAATTCTTTTGACGATATCGTTCAGTTGGACGAACAAATTTGAGTGGACAAATTAATGACTGCTGTAAAATAATAACGCGAGCAGGCGTTTTCATAGCACTGATCAGCGACTGTTGTTTGCTCACTGCACTGAACTGCATCAGCGCAAGTGCATTTGTCATTCAATCAAAACTGATTCGTACAAATTGAACGGAATAGCGAGCTGTCGTAGCTGATAGAACTAAGGTTGCACATTAACCGACAATGACGCGCGTATTTTTAGTCGAGGCTGCAGAGATCCATGACGGACGACGAGGAAGCGATCGAGGAAAGTACAGACGAGGGCGAGCCGGTGCGCAAGGGCCCGCCAGCCAAAAAGCCCCCGGAGATCGTCTACAAATCGAGCAAGGAATTCTATCGGGTGATCGCCAAGCAGATGGGCATCACTTGCAAAATGAGCGACAACTGCAGGTGCCTCGACTGCCAGGTAAACAGAGCGCTGCCGCAGCAAATAAAACTCGCCAACAGTTCGGCAGTGCCTTGCGTATTCAACTTTCGCCGATCGTTGATTGGTTGCAGAGTCGCTACTTCGACTGCGGCTACGACAAGTATCAGGACTACGATTCCAAGTACATCGAGCAATCGGACGGTGGTCTGAGTGCCAGCACGCCAATGTTCGTGTCGGAAGTCATGAACGGCTCCTGTCAGCTGCTCTAATGGATTTCACAGCCGAGCAGTCGTCTGCGTATTTAAACGTTGTCGTTTCTCCTCCTCGTCGTCGTCTCATTGTACGTCCGATCTCGGCCGCCTGCGAGTCGAGATGATTTTGCTGGACGGTTTGGATGGAGATGGCTGGAGATGGAGAACGCGAGACCGCGCGCAAACAGGGATCTTATCGACCCTAAGGCGCTCTTGCCAATTTTCTGCTCGGCATAATGATATGTATTCGTGCGAGGATACTTTTTACTGGTTCGATCGTTGGCATTTTCTCTTTCACTCGGACTCGGATGATATTTTATCGTTACAACTCGATGGGATTTTATGCAGGTTAACGAAGCTACGAATTGAAGCGAGCCCTCCGATATCTATTAGATTTCTCCGTACCAATACTACCGACATCGGAACCAGAAAAATAATCCTCGACGTTTCTATTGGACTCTCACGAAACAGCGCGAGATACACAAAATATTCTAATGCTATTTATGTAAAACGTACTATCACTGATAAACTATTTGTAAGCGCCGGTGCCTGCATAATTGGCACGTCTTTTTCACGTCATTGTTACATATACTCTCAGACAAATTGACGACAACAAATTGGCTTTCTCAACAAAGTCATTGGAAAGAGATTATTATTTTTTAGCATTTTCAAACGGTTGAACGAAAAGGGAAACCTCAACAGGAAACATGATCACGTCTTTCGAACAATGTCAAATACGAGTATATTTCAACATTTTTCTTCGAATTGTACTTATACGGCAACCACATCAATCAATTTTTCAAGTCTGCAAAGAAAAGGCTGATCATTTTCAAAGAAAAAAAAGTATAAGTTGCATTTTTGCACGAATATTGGTTGTTGCGACGGCAAGAGAAACACTATCAGAGAACCGCAGACTGTGCTTCGAATCAGTTATTGGATTCTTGCCGTCTCAATCAGTTTCTTTCCAAGTATATGCAATTTTTCTGATAAACAATTCTAATAGACGTGCAATTTTTAGTACCAATTTTTTTCAGCTTCTGAGACTCGCGAATATCTTGCCGAAGTAACAGCCATTCATTGGGTATTGTATTTGAAATATTGTAGCGTATAGTAGCTCAGTCGTGTGAAAATTCATACAAAAGTTAACAATCAAAGTATTTAATCTACTACTACATAGTGAGTCTAGTCAAATTTTAATACTTATTTTATTAGTCAATTACATCAATACAATTTAGAAATTAAAGCTGAAGGGTTCCTTCTATTGGATATTGCGGGAAATTTGCATTCAAGTTTATTGGAAATCGGAACGCGAAATCCTCGTATTTCAAACAAACGAAACGAATAAAAGTAAATTGATGATAAAGTCGAGAATTGTCTTTGTAATATGAGATATCACCGGGAATTCTCATTTTACCGTTATATATGTCTAAAATAGTTGTTTATTGTAATAAGTTTTCATGAAGTTGGCCTTTACTATTTCGAATGTTAGGTTGTAGTTGCGGCACTAAATAATGCCATGGATGTTACGTATTTGTTAGTAAATTTTCCCGCACTTAATTATTCACTGGTAATTTGTCTAAACACGTCACATAAAGATTTAATAATTGGTTTGGGCTACTGGATTTTTTTTTCACTTTTATACTACAATTGTGAATATACTATGCTGAATACGGAATTAATTTTAATATGTAAGTTAATATATTAGAAAAAGGTTTTAAATTGCACTTGTTGATAGAAAAAAAAGAAAGAATGCAAAAAAATTACAATAAATCAACAATATCTCTCTCATTACCGTAGAGAGCAATTACTCTATAACTGTAGGAAACATAATAGCCCATACCTGCCGATACACCTACTCCAAGAATAATATTCCTGAACATTTTTTTGAATTATTTTCGAAAAATAACTGAAAATATGCAATAGGGAATAATATACCGAAAATAATCGGCAAGAGTACTGACATTTAATCATTTTTTATGGCTATTCGAGGAACGAACCGATGAGTACTCTTCAATCGCCATTATTGCATTTCGTGAGATAAATAAATATAACAATCGCACTAATCTTCACTACTATCGTAGAGCATGTTGTTTATACACAAAAGTGTAAATCTTGTAAGCTATGACGCATAACAGACTTGCTAAAATACATATTTAATTTTTTTTCTTTCAAGGATGAATCGCAAATTGCAAACTAGTAGAAATTATTATCTTGAACAAAATTAATTTATTTGACAAAGGTAACGAATAAAAAATGATTTCTCGAAGCAATAATAAATCATTTTTGAATGTTTAATAAAATGCAAGATTTAAGCGAGGTTACATAATTAAACTGTTGAATAAATCAAACATATCTTTTTTAAAACGACTGATCAACATAAAATAATTGACCTTGATATTAATTGGCCACGCTAGACTTTACATTGACGTGCTCGAATTCCATTACTAGTTTTGGCATCAGACGGTTGTCCTTATTATCACGTCAGAATGAACCTCCACTACACTATTGTAAACTATATGCCCGTGGCAAAGAGTAAAAATAGAAATACGAAACGAAGAAACATTGCAAAAAAGCCTCATGATAAACGATGCCTATATAATTTTTCTCAAATGATAGACAAACTTTGTGCTAAGAAAGCGAGTGTACTTGTTTAGAATTTCCTAAACACGCCAACACAAATGACTGTCTAGTTCGTAAGAATAACCAACAAATTCCAGTTGTTCTCTAGATGACATGGTGTAATAATTGAACCAGAAAATAATCCATGTGCTCTACTACCGATCCATTATGGAAACGCAACAGCAGCAAAAACTTTTCAGATACGTACGATCACTCGCAAATATTTTTTGAAATGTGCAACTTGGAGCAAATAAAAAGCAATTTGCAGAACTTTGTATTACATATATTGAATGGATAAAGTATTATACATAGACGACAGTAGGCTGTATCGATGTATATGATGCAGAATAAGCTCGGCAAGAGCGTTTGTTGTTTTAATCCAAATTAAATGTAACCTGCACAAATAATTTCTTTCGTCAGATAGATATATGTTGCCCAGCCTAAGTACGAACAACAGAAATAACTTTTCGTTATTGGACATTTCTGTTATGTTTGCCTATAATCAGATATTATGCAAGTATTATTGTTCTATGGTAATCGAAGTTTGTTGAATAATACATATATTCTAATGGTCAGCACCAAATAAACAGGGCCTAATTATTAAAAATTATGACTTTTATTGGACTAACCTTCCTTTTCACAATTAATAATATACATTTTCAACGTATGTATACGGCGCAACAATAAATTTTGGCACGGATGTACGATACCAGCCGAGTAGTTTATATGTTTGTTGTAGACTAATAACTCAATGATCAAAACGATTAATTTAGATGACGTTCGTGCTCAATTGCTTGTTACGTTCATTATCGTGCCTGTTTCAAAAGAAGATAAAATCAAGATCGTTAGAACATTCATTTGATATTGTATTTTGATGATAAACCACCTCCCTGTTGAATCGGCCGTGCGTGGAACCTTGTCATTGTCCGTGCAAGTTGCCAGCGCAATAGTCGTAACTTGCCGCGTAATTGTCGAATTAACTATGTAATATGAATTCATCTACTAACATACCTCTATGCGAACGTTTGTCGTATGTATTCGAATCGAAAATTGGCGTGGATTCGCATTCGATATTATTACTCCGTTTTCCGCGTTCGTTTATCGCAAACGAAAAATCCTCCCGAAACGCGCTTACTTTCCGAGCTACGTCGGAGAAGGTGTATTGGCAAAAAGCACGCGAATAGATAAACAGAAGCTGATCCGCGCGATAGTACTGGAAGGCATATCGGGCCAATCGAGCGCGAGTCGACAGACAAGCGGGCGAGCGATCCGACGAGGCATCCAATTGTGCGATATCAAGCGAGATGAACGCGAGATGAGCGCTCCGTGAATCAGGGAGGCCAGCGGGACCGCTCGGCCGGCGTCGCGGTCGCGGCGAGATCGCGGCCTCGTGCCTCGTGCCTCGTGCCTCGCTGTCGATCTTCCGAGTACAGCCGCGGTCCGCGAGTCGCGCGATCGGCGCGTCGCGAGCGCGCATCGCGGCGGCCCTCTCCTCCCCCTCGGCAGCCCCCCGCTGCGGCCGGCGCGCCTACGTTCCCCACTTCGCGCTCTTTTGCGCGCCCCGCGCTTCCTCGCTTATCTGCGGCGACGTCGGCGCGCGCGCGTACAACGTACAACGTACAGCTCAACAGTAGTCCCGAGCGGAGCGCAGCGCACGTGCACAGCTCGGCCGAGCCATGGGAAAGTCCTCGAGCAAGCTCAAGTCCAGGCGCAGCCAGAGTGAGTACACGGCTTCTCGCGCGCGGACGGGCGTTTCGGCGCGAGGAGGCAGTGCGCGTTGCCGGGTAGGCGTCCGCCGGCCGAACGTGCCGTTGCGTAAGCGCACCTTTCGATAGCGGCTTCTAAAATTTTTGAAATTCTAATCGCGCCGAAAGTGTCTGCCTAGCATCGGCGCCTTCCTCTGGGCCGCCCCATCGGCTCGCCATCGGGTCGCCTCCTCGCCCGCGAACAGAAGCGAGGAGATTTCAAATGCTAATCGACAGCTGCCTTCGGATAATGGACAATGCCGTCGGAATGCCGCTGGATACTGCTTGGAACGCCGTATATCGATCGGAATTCTCTCTCGGGATTGCCTTCGCGGAAGCGCTGCCGCTCTTTTCTCCGCTTTATTTTCAGATTCAATGTCGCACGAGAGACAAATATTTGCCGTTGCGTCGCGTTTCAGCAATTCTTATCGATTTTCACGAAGCTATCGCGCGAACAGCGGGATAAAGAGGCAAAACCTACCGCGCACAGCCGTAAGCAACGTCAGGAGCGCGTTGGCGTTGTCGCCAATCGGAAAAAGCCGGCGGAGCCTCGGGAAAAGAAGCGAACAAAGGGGCCGAAGAGTCCGTGGCATCTGGCGCGCCGTCGTCGCCGCCTCGGACTTCTCTTTGCGGGCGGAGGCGTCCTTCGGCCGCAAACGTCGGCCGCTCGTCGCGAGATAAATCGATGCGGCAGCATCCTCGCGCACCGCGGCCGCACGTCGTGGAGCAACACGTTGCGCGGCGAGTCGGGTACGCGACGGGTACGCGGCCGCGACGCCGGGCGCGAGACCGAGCGCCTGTTTACCTTCTCGCGCGCGATTGCGCTATCGAAATACTTTTCTGTAACGCGACGCGCGATAAGACGTCTGCACACCTGCGCGCATTACGTCGAGTGCTTGGCAATCGAGTTTGAAAAAGCTGCGAGTTTCGCGAGAAACTTGTGCTGACGATAACTGGTCTCGGCTTGCGTAATCCCATCGCCCGTGATTAACTCGACACACGATCGAGGAGACTCCGCAGTTCATTCGCCGTCGGACTCCCGTCTATTTCAATCGATGGCTTCGGAATCGTTTCGAGGGCCAAGGGCTGCTGCACTTGGCTGGCTCGACCGCGCGTAATCGTCCACTGAACGGCAGCCGAATCAGCACCGAGCTCGCAAGGTGCCCGAAACGAGGCCAACGCTGCTGTTGCAGGTATAGCGTGGAGCTTCAGGTTCCCCTCGGCGGGCAGTCTGCATCAGGCGCTGGGCGGCTCGAGCCGCAGACGACAAAGGAAGGCCAACCGCGACAGCAGTCGCAACGTCGACGGAGCCATCGCGATCTCGGCCTCGTGCCGCGAGCTCGGCAAGCGCAACACCCTCAGCTCCGAGGCGAGCACCGACGAGTGCGAGACCTGCGCCCCGTCCCGCAGCGACTCCACCGACACCCTCAGGTACACGGTGAGACGTCGTCCGCCTTTGCGTTCCCGTGAAATCGCACCGACAGCCAACTTACCGGCTAGTTGGCTACACGCGATAGGAGCGGTGGTGTAATCGAACAAGCCGCTCGTCAATCTCGGTGGGGCAGGCTTGGCCGAATCGCGCTTTGAAAATTAAGCGCGTATCCCGATCGATCGGCGCGGTGCACTCGACGCTTTCGCGCGCAGTGCTGCTCGCGACGATCCATACCTCATCGCGCCCGTATTTCCCCTATATCGGCACTCGACTCGGGCGCAGCAGCGACGCATCCGACGCATGCGAGTGCACGCGCCGAGCATGGGGCCAGAAGTGCGTAATGAGCACTGCTGGCTAATAAACTGGGAGAGAGAGAGTGGGAACGAGAGAGAGAGAGAGAGAGAGAGAGAGAGAGAGAGAGAGAGAGAGAGAGAGAGAGAGAGAGAGAGAGACGCAGGCGCATCTGCGGACTCTCCCTTTTCCCATGCGCGCGTACCGCTGGCCCCCCATAGTCAGCGGCGAGCCTCGAATCAATAACGCACCGAAGGCGCCGCTATACAGTGCTCGCGCGCGGTTCGGACGCCAACCGTCGAGAAAAGTGGCTCTGAAAAATGAAGCTGGCGCGCCGTGAAAGCACCGCCGCGGTCGACAATACCCCCTCACCGTGAATGGGCCACGGGCCGGTTTTCTATAGCGCCCAGGCATTTTATTATAGAAGCGCTCGTGCGAGCGTGCGTTGACTCTTGACGCACACGCCGAGCCGGCGACGGGATTGCCCTCGCGACAGGTTGGACGACTCGCTCGCCTGTCGCGGCCGACGTTTTGCCTCGTCGACGCCACCGCGCGCTCGATGGATGGGCCATCGGGATCAAAAACTAAAGTGCAATGAAATAAACGCGCCCGAGTCGCCCTCTCCGTCCCCGGGACACCAGGGCTCCGACCTTTTCTCCCGCTCGGGCTAACGGCGAGATCGCTCTCGTTCGCGTCCCTTCGAAGCGCGCACGAGGGACCACCGCACCGAGTGGAAATTTCTCGTTCCAGCGAGGGAGGAGCGAGCGAAGGAGCACGAGGCATTCGAGGCGGTCTTTTCCTTTTTTCTCAGTCGACGAAGCCTCGCGTTTGTTCGCGGCAGTTGCCCGTCCTCGACGTCGCAACGCTCGCTCTTCCGGAGTTCCCCGAGAGCCACAGTCGTCCTTTGTTCCGCGACGTTTGCCCGCTGGCTTTTCGCGCGACCAAACGAATACCCAGGGACGACAACGGGTCGCGAGCGGCCGCGAGACGGCGGCGGGCGTAGATCGCGTACGAAAGGACTACGGCCCTGCACGTCGCTGCTCGGCGGCGGCCACGATCGACTGCGCGAGCGCGCCGCGACGGCGGCGGAGGGGGCGCCCGGCCAAACCCTGTCCGCCCCGTCGTACGCTACGCTCGGCGCCCGCGCGAGCGGCGGCGGAGTGGGCGCGCGCGCCGGCGAGCGCACGGGAGCGACAAGGAGAGAGGCGGCCGTCGCTCGGGGATCCTCCATTCGCCGACAACGCGTCGCCGCTGCATGGCCGCCCGAGCGCCGAGGCACTAATCGTGGCGTTCTGCGTGCACAGAGCCCCGCAGGGCAGCGCCGCCGAGGAGGTCGCGGCCGCCAGCAACAGCGGCGCCGCGGCCGCGGCGGGCGCTCGCAGGATTAGCCTCGGCGAGCCGCCGCCTCGCGAGGGCTCGCATGATGCAGCCGCGGACGCGATGCAGCCGCCAGACACCGGCTCGCTCGCCAGCACACCCACACCCAGCTCTGGATGCTGCAGTCCTCGAGGCGCCGCCGTGAGTATCTTGCTTCTCTCCTCGCCATCGACGTCGCGCGCGCCGCCCGACTCCTCTCTCCTCCTCTCTCTCTCGCGGCTGATTGTTCTCTGCTGACTCATCGTTATGAACCGCCGAGCCTTTTCTCCGTCTTCGTCCTTCGAGCTGTCGTTGACGCGCCACAGTCGTCGATCGGATCGGCCGAGCAATTATCGACAAAACTCGCGTCGTCGTGCAAACGAAGCTCGGTTCGCGCACCGTCGAGGAAGAAAACAACTGATCGCCGAATCCGCCTCCCTTGTGTACGCATCCCCTCGCTCCTTGTGCGTTATCCTCGCCAGCGACGGAGGGAGGCCGAGCAAGGCTGTCCTGATTTCGCTGCTCTTCGCGGCAGCTTTCCCGTAACTTTTCGGCTTCGACCCTGGCTTTGCGTCGCGAACGCATATTTTCGGCTGGCAAATTCAGTTCACGAGGTCGCGACGATCGAAGATCCGACGATAGCACGCGCAAAGCGAATTCCTTCCTGATTATTCATCTCCGAGCGCGAGACTGCGGCCCCGGAGTCACATTTAGCTTCACATGTGCGCTGCTCGATTTCTGGAGCAAGTTTAAATAATTCACTGGTTACTTAGGAAATACACGAGCAGATGGAGCGCAATCGAATCGGCCCAAAATCACTGCAACGCATCCTTCACCGAAAGCCTGCAATCTCCAGTACAATGATTTTCTTTCCTGTTTTTGGAGAGAGGAGAGAGAGAGAGAGAGTGAGAACCGGGCCGGGGGGGGGGGGGCACATCCTCTCTTACATTAAAAGTCGACCGAGCATGAAGGCTACTCGCAGCGCTGGCCGTGCTAAAACCAATTATTATCCGACCGCCGGACAATCAATTAACGTCGGCGCGTATAACCTTTCAGTGGCGAAGGAAAAAATGGGAGGGGGCAGAGCACAGTGAATGGACTCCGGTAGTTCTATTATAATTGAATGATATGGAAACTTCGTTACCGGCGCGCTCGCGAGCGCCTCGCGAGCACGACTTCGCGCTGCGACAGGCTTATTAATTTATCGTTTCTCGCGCGCGAGAGTAGCAGTTCAGAATTGAGTTTCGCGTGGCGCTCTGCATGCTGATCACTCGATCAAGCGTTTCCCGAGAAATCGAGCGCGCTGTCGCGAGGATATCTGCTCTTTGCCCTCGTTCTTACTTTACGCGTTGGAGGAATTACGCATTCAAACCTTGCGATTCCCGTAATTTTCGCGAGACAATGCAGCTGCCATCAAAATAACCGCGAAAACTGAATTTCGCCCTAATCTTCCGCCGCCTTCCCAAGGATCCGAGTAGAGCGAGGAGCGAATTCGGCTCGACTGGAAAGCAGATTCGGCGTCTAATGCGGCTCTACTTAGTTAGCACGAATGCGGCACGCTTGAAACGCGAATGCCTCGAGGAATTCCTTTAGACGACGTACACTGGTCGAAAAAAATTGTAAAGCAAGATACCGCTGAGCACAAAGCACAAAGCACACAGCACAAAGCACAAAGTCCGCCTCGGGGTCAGTGACCGACTGGTGAACCAGTCGCGAGACCAATGCAGGACACGCCAGACCGACGGAACTGTTCAGCTTCCGAGAGAGCCGGAGCGAGCTGAAAACGATCCGAACTGTTGGTCGCAGGAGCCGTCGGAAGAGTCGGTCCGCAAGCTGCTGGAACGCGAGCTGCGCCTGTTCGACCTGATCGACCCGCGGGACATTCGGTCGTACGCGTGGTACCACGGCGGCTCGTTGCCCGGAGGCAGAAAAGGCGCCGAGGCGGAGATCCCGAACGACGGCGACTTCCTGGTGCGCGACTGCGCCAGCCAGCCCGGCAACTACGTGCTCAGTGTGCGGCACAGGGGACAGCCTCTGCACTTCGTCATCAACAAGGTACGCGCGCGGCTCCGTCGAGCAGCGAGCCTGGCGCGAGCCCGGGCGAGTCCCGTCGAGCCTCGCGCCAGGCTCGCTGCTCGACGGGGCGCGAAACCGGCGAGAATCGCGACGATTCCCGGCCACGCGCTGCGCCCTTTATCGGTAATCGAGCCAGCCGCTTCCGCTCTCGGCGAGCAATTCTAACGAGCGAGTGTTCGGTGAATCGCAGGTGGTGCTCCAAGCAGGTACGATGTACGAGCGAGTGCAGTACCAGTTCGAGGACGAAGCCTTCGACACGGTAACTGATCTGATAACCTTCTACGTTGGCAGCAAGCGTCCGATAAGTCAGGCGAGCGGCGCTCGCGTCGTCACGCCCCGCCACCGCAAATTCCCCTTGTCGACGACGGCCAACTCGCTCGCTCGCTCGCCACCGCGCATCCCCCGCAAAAAGGAGCGTAGCCACTCGCTCAGTGCTTACCAGCACTACCAGAGCCCGCCGCCGCCGCAGCTCGTGCCCTTCCACCAGCAGCAGCAGCAGCAAGCGAGCACTCTGCCGCGAGTGCCCCAGGCGGCCGGCAGCCCGCCCAGCTCGCTGTCGTGCTCCATGTCGCTCGGCAGGCAGAAGATCGGCAGGGTCGTCTCCGACCCGGCGCTCGAGCCGCAGCAGCTCCGCCGGCAGCCCTCGCGGCCGGCCGACGAGGGAGACGAGCCGCACTACCAGAGCCCGAAGAACAACTCGGCCGTGCTGCCGCCGCTGGAGACCAACAACGGCGCCTACGATACGCCGCCGCCGAAGCCGCCGCGCGTGCCCCGGCACCTGAAGCCGCCGCCGCCGCCGCCGCCGCCGCCGCCGCCGCCGTCGTACTCGCAGCCGCACGCGCTGCACCAGACGAGGCCGCACCAGGCCTCGGGCAGCGACAGCGGCAACGGCTCCGGCGACAGCGAGTTCGAGACCGGCGCCGCCTGCGGCCTGCCGATGCAGCCCGCGGTCAAGAGCCTCATCCTGCGCAGCTACTACCAGGCCAAGGCCCTGGGCCTTAGCGAGCTGGACATCCGGCAGTGGCGCGAGCTCGAGCGGCGCATCGCCGAGAGCGCGCCCAGCTTCGAGATCCCGTCGTGCTTCGACCTCGACAACTTCAACACCATCCTGCTGCCGACGGTGGAGCACAAGCCGCTCGACGCCACCGCGCTCCGGGGCGTCATGGGAATGCTGCACGAGACCGCCTCGCGGATCCTCGCCTCGCACCTCACCCGCACCGACGTGGACATGCTGCTCAAGGTGAGGAGCCCGCCCCGCCCCGCCCCGCCCCGCCCCGCCCCGCGACGGCTCGCCCGCTAACCGACCGCTGCGCAGGTGCACGCGGACGACCCGCCGAGCGTGCGCGACGGCCAGTGCGGCCTGGAGCTCCTCGTGCTCCCGTACGCCAAGCAGACGCGGCTCGACGTCATCGAGCGCACCGAGTGCCTCAAGCTGCTGGTGGCCGTGACGATCCTCACCTGTCCGAGCGCGCCCGAGCGAGCGGCCACCATCAGCCGCTGGGTGCAGGTGGCCATCGACACCAAGACGGCCCTCGGCAACCTCTACGGCTTCTGCTCCATCATGCTCGGGCTCTGCCTGCCCCAGATACAGCGGCTCACGGCCACTTGGCACCTGCTCAGGCAGAGGCACACCGACGAGGCCTTCGCGTTCGAGGCCAAGCTCAGGCCCACCCTGCGGGCGATGAACGAGTGCACCGACCCGCAGGCACCCAACACCACCATCCCGCACGTGCTGCCCATCGCTCTGCTCAACGAGCGCACGCACGACGACGTCCTGGGTGAGCGACCACCGCATTTGCCACTTCTGTCGCGGCGAACTCTGTTCGAGCTGCGCTCGCGGCCGACGATCGGTAGTCCGCGGTAGTCCGCGGTAGCCCGGCTCGATGCAGCTCAGTCGCGCTACGCGAAATCCCAAATTCGTTCCGAATCAATCCTAAAGACAAACGCAACATTCGTACGAGTTTTATTTCGGAGAAAATTGGTGCGAATTGCGTGTACAGTAGTACAGTACAGGTCTCGCGTAAACCTGTACTTCCGCACTCGATTCGTACTTTGTTTCTCGCCAAATTTCTTACAGTAGCAAATTCTTAGGCTACTATAAGCATGGGACTTTGACGTCGACCTCAGCTAGATGAAAGTTGGGCTTATGTATACTCACTGACTGCTTCGGACAAGTCAATATCTGACCGCTCGCTAGGCTCACAGGGTTTGGATAGTCTTGATAATATTGTTGTTTAATTAACAAACTTGATTATTACTTGATCGGCATTGTAGTGCAAAAGTAATCGATGAAAATTCTCAAGAAATTTTCTCGGCGCGCAGATACATACTTACAAATACTTTTGAAAACTCTACTTATGATTGTTGATTGTAATGGTCCAAGTGGTTCAAGTGTCCATTAGTATTTTTATAAACATATTTTTATGAAACATGTTTTGAAGCCCTTGATTAGCTTTCAATTTCGTTTACTCATATGCACGTAGAGGTCTTTTTCTATAAAGATTTTATCCACATGCAATTACTTTTTATTTCACGTTTACATTTTTGTCCGAATTTCTTGTAACTGTGAATTTTTTATTCGACGCATGCGCAAATAAAAAATCGCGTTCGTGAGCGTTGGACAAAAAATGTTAAACGAGTGACTTGGAATGCTTAAAATTTATTTTGTCATAAGCTCAAGTCCAAATGACTCATGGAAAAAATGAATTACCAACTATTTAGCTAATAAATTTGTTGGGAATTTGATAATGAAACAACAATATTATTCTGATTATCCAAACTCCGCTGCGATAGAAACAGAAGAGCATGTACAGTTACACAATGGCAATGGCTTCGTATAAAGAGCGATCGAACATAGAAGCATTTATATTCGTTGGCATCATTTGCACTTACAGCTGAGGTGTGCCTAATATTTGGCTTACCTCTATTTATCGCTCAAAGCGACGACTCGATGTTCGCAAGAATGAGGAGCTTTCAAATAAGCGCGGATGGCTCGAACGAGTCAGCCAAAACTAACATTGGTCGTTGCAGGCAACGCGCCGCCGTCCGCGCTGGCCTCGGCGGTGCTCTGTCCCTGGGAGAACTCGGCAGCGGACTGCGGCTTGTCGATAATGTGGGCGCACCTGGAGGCTTCGCGGAAGATGCACGAGAACCTGACGCTGTTCAGGCGCAACGCCGAGATCGCGCTGGAGGGCTGCCGCAGCGACGAGCTGCTCCTCGACGCATTCCGCGCCGAGTTCCACATCAAGTTTCTGTGGGGCAGCCGCGGCGCCTTCGTCGCGGCCGGCGAGCGACACGCCAAGTTCGTGCAGGTGCTCGACGCCATGTACGACAAGTGCGCGGCGGGCGAGCAGGGCTCCGCCAACGCGTGAACGATCCGCCTCCTCGGCCTCACCCCCCTCGCGAGCTTTCGTCGCTGGGTCAGCGGCCGCCTCTCTCCTCGTAACGGCAGCCACGCCAAGTCGAGACGGCAGATGGGTGCGATCGGTGTCGCTGGTCCACTTGGCAGACTACGCTGCCGCCGCGTATTTGAAACGGCTCCAAAAAATCAAACTAGACGTACTGGGGGACGAGAGGCCGAACGCGCGGTTCGACTGTTACACTCGCTCTTTGACATACGCACGCCGATGTTAGGTAAGGGATCATTCTATTAGCTGTATCGTGTACTTTGAGCAATGGCGTTTACGATAAACAGAGGTGCGTATGGCGTATACGCGAGCAACCAGAACGATCTGTCAATCGAAATGAGGAAAGTTTACCGGCCTATTGTTTTCGACCGCGTACAACCGAGGTGCTTCTTCCTTTTTTTCATTTTAACCGACAGACTCTACTCATCGGTCGATATAGCACGTTCATTTTTTTCTTTCAATTGCTTTGCGCTGATGGAGTTCACGTTATATCGTAGTATATATAGAGAGATTTATTTTATTTTTTTAATTTCGTCAAAGCCGAGCGAGTCTGACACGTAAACTTTCTATTTCGATCCGGTGCGACTTTTATATATTTGTACATATTTGCACGTGACTTTTTCATGAAAAACGCAATTTGATAAAGAAAAAATTAAAAAAAGTAAGCGAGCAAAGCGGGACTGAGATCGTTGCTTCCCGGTTACGGGACGAGTGGTCTTTTATCATGCATTATAAGTCGCCACCAAAACTCAGATGCGAAAGAGAAAGGCAAGAGGAAACTGCTTTAGCATTAATTAAGGCCCCAATCGATAGACTTAGATATACAGTCAGTAGGAGCATTTCGCCGTAACTTTCCTTCGGGCGTTCATCTAAAATATAAATGTGCTCGAAAAAAAATTATCTTCGATAAATGACTGTGACTAATCAATTTTTTAATGTTTCGAGCAATGGTTCCTTCATAAAAAAAATGAAAAAGCCAATTGTCATTTCCAGCTGTCATTATTTCTGTTTACATTCACGATGGAAAAAAAATGTTGACACTCCTCCTCATAAACAAGCTGACTTGAGAAACACCATTGATTTTTTATTTTTTCACGAAAAACCTTCTCAAAACATTTCAAGATTCATTAGTTGCAATCTGAGTATAAACAATAGTCGGTGATAATTATCTTCAAGCAACTTTGATTAATATGTTAGGCAAACGATTGGAGGGAAGTCGCAACAAAATTTCTCAATTGACTGTATACCTATGGATATCGATTGACGGGCCTTAATCGAGGTTTTATTTGTGCAAAAATGATTTTTCCTAATAATGCATTTCGTCCTAAGTGCAGTTACAATGCGAGTGATTGGATATTTTTCACGTTTTTTCGAATAACTTTACATTAAAATGCACATATTTATATTTAATATTTATATTTATACGTTTGTAATACGAGTCAGGACAATATTTGAGAGAGAGAGAGAGAGAGAGAGAGAGAGAGAGAGAGAGAGAGAGAGAAGAATAGCAAGAGATATGTTTATTGTACGACAAGCAACGCAATTCAAATGAAAAATGTTATTAAAGTAATATGTAAACGAAACGACGTAAATGATGGCAATCCACGAAAAAGAAAAGCATGTGAAGTTACCCTATCTCTGTATACCAGCTGTACTTAATGATATTTGATTGGAAAATTAACGATTAATTAGAATATATTATGTACATTATTATGCGACCAAAATTGGATGCTGTACCTGTTGTTCGCGTTTTTTCACAACATATAAATCGATATACATTATTCCCATTTGTCGTTTTTTTATTTCGCTTATTTTCATCGGCTTTTATTTCTTTTCTTTGTTTCAGCGATTGGTATTTCAGTTTATTTATAATTATGATGCATGAAAAAAGCAAGCATTCAATGTGTATGTACATGTGTGTAGCAATGGGCGATTCTTAGTTATTTCAATGGGCTTGGAGATACTGGGTTACGGAATTTTTCAAGCTTTGAAGAATTGTTGCACATATAGAGGTCATAATTTTTCAAAATTTTCATACCAAAAGATTGATTATATCAAAAGTTATTAACCTTGAAAAGTAATGATAACATTTTTCAGAAGGCTATATTTCAAATACTAATAATGTGATAGGGATCAACATTTTTTAAATGTGCATAAAACTTTCAACTGTGAAAATATTTGCCACAATAAACGATAATGTTTATCTTCAAAAATTATTAACTTTTTCTTAAACTGTTATGAATAACTCAAAAAGTAGTTTGTTTTGAAGTCTTGCTTTTACGTATTGGTCAGGGCTTTTTATACAAAAAAATAGATATATCTACCATGCATTTCTACAGCCAACACGCATATCACGAGTCGCTATCGTGAATCGCATGCGAGTAGGTACAATGTAACAACGAAGCAGTGGTAGGGGCGACTATCTATACAGTAAGATGACGATACTGGGCTCCGCCGTAACTATAATATACGCTGAATTGAGTATAATATACGCTGAATAAGAGTACACAGATATGAACATCACAAGATAACAGTACGTCCTTCCGTTGCCTTTTCTTTTAATTCTAGACAGTAAGTCATAATTATACACACATGCAATTTTGCGTTGTTGAGATTGATGCGTGTACAGATAATCTAATATTAATTATTCAATTTATTATTTTGTTAATAAACTCACTATATTTTTTTATATTCGTCCATCAAAAGACTTGATGCACCTAAGGCTATATTTAGTTGTCATCATCACAATTTCAACTGTGCAGCTTACATACAATAGTTTGCAATCATTATATTTATAATGATGCTTTTGACAGCTTACATTCACTGACGCTTATATAAGCTGTCAAAAGCATTTTAATACATTTTTTTGTATCGTTTTCAAATCAGTCCTATCTAAATTATTATCCAATAAATAACTGTAAATTGAAAAAGAATTATTCAATGTTTTAACGTAATAAAGTTCAATAGAACAAGTTTTTTGATGAAATTTTTTTAAATATTCTAAATAACATTTAGAAAATGCTTTCATTAAATTGCTTTCTTCTTAATTTTTGTTTATTTCATAAACACTTACACGTAAAAGACAACGAGGAAAAAAGTGTTTTATGTTCAAAATAATTCTTCGTTTTAATATGTACCACAGCTATAATTTATACGCGAAAAGATAAGAAATAAATAATCTAGAATAAACTGTAAGTATTTCCATATTTCCTGCAGGAGAAGCTAATCCACGTGTCACGCCAAGTTATCGCCAAACCATTGCCAAACTATCACTAAACTATGGCGAAGGACACCAGGCCAAGACAGAGAATATAGAAATACTATATATTCTCTAGCTAAGACGACGTCCTTTAATCTTAATCTATTGCAAATAGCAGCACGCAGCTGTATCTGAGGTGCAAGAGATTCGTGTATAAAATAGCTTAATAATAAAATTTCGAGATTTTTCAACGTGCCGTGCGTAAAGTACGACTTTGCCACACCCTTGGCGAAAAACGCGCGCTCGAATTGGCGTTTTTAATACGTGGTTTTGGAAAATACTGAACCTGACATATTCAGCAAATCTTACGTGAGACAACAATCTACTTTTCTGCTAACACTTTAATTCAATCTTGCTTTTTATTTGATGGTTGATTAATACTCAACAGGTATTCTGCGAAAGAATGCATAATTTTGTTGTCTGATCTAAAGGTAAAAATAGATTACAATGCAGTCTATAACAAAGGTGAAAAATGCCATATGAGAAAATAAAGAAGCTAAAACTTACAGGTGATATCGTCCCAGTTGACGTTATAGATTATATTTGCACTGAAATAAACCTACGAGATTTATGCCGCGCTCCAAGTAAGTATATTTATGAATTAGGAAAAGTTTTATAGAAGAATAAAATAATAATGGTAATTCGTAAACAGATATTGGCATGCTGCTGTCAAACGAGAATTACTACGTAGAAAAATGCAAAGAATCAGTTTATATGAAAACGCAAACAATCGACCCCATTTGTTGCAATTAAAAGTTAAGCCATACATAGTATTAATGTTTGCTGTTCAGCTAGACATTCCTAGACCTATTGTGCACAACCCATATCCTACAAGTACTCAATTCATTCCAATAGAAATCTACAGTTTCGACTGCAGTTTTTTAAAATATAATCAAAAGTGATTCAATTATTTTCCAGATACTTTTCTATATATAAGCCGGTATGCAAAAATAACAATCCTAGTAGGAAGTTCAAGATTGCATACTGAGTAAACCATTAGTACTGTCAATAACTTAGAAAAGAAGCATTTACATTTTTTTGGAACTAGAGAAATCCAGTGTTTGATTATTCTTAAACATAACAAGTTGTCATGTTTGTTTACTTGACATACAATCAAACTCAAGAAGACTCATTCGATAAATGGATAGTATTTAATCAACTATTATTAAAAGAAAAATACACAGACATTTATTATGATGTTCACATTTATTGTGAAAAATCATTTTTGGAAGAAAGTGTTAATTATATAAAAGAATGGTGAAGAAAATTATTGTATTTCAAAACGATTAATGAAAAAGTTCCTTATTATTGTTATATTAAATATATATAATCTTTTACAGCTTTCAAAGCAATTCTTATGCTTTATGGGGCGATAAAATGTATTTATTACCAGAAGACCATTAACATGCAGGATTTCTTGGGATCAGCATTTCTAGTAATAATATAAATTTATTTTCGACTGTGATTCCTTATAAAAAATTGAGTTTATAAAGTTTTTAGACAATGTAAAATTGAAATGGCACAGTATGGCATTCATAAGGGGTCCATGGTATAAGGACTTTAATTTTTCTGATGAAGAAGATAGTAATGAATTTGTTAGAGAAAAAAGTGAATATTGTATATTCAATTATGAAAAATACTATTTATCTAATTTTATTAAAGTATTTCCTAATTCATTTTTTATAAGTTTTTTAATAACTATTATAATTTATGTTCACTTTATAAATATGTATATTATTGATTTGATGGATAAATATTTTCTTGCACATTCAGAGAACTCATTGATACATAATGATGACATAACTATTGTTATTGTAACATATAATTAAATTAAAATTCAATATAATAAATTTATGTTGATAAGGATAACAATGTCTTTATTAATATGTTTATAAAATAAAAATATTTTTCATTGAATGAAAAAATGGTTAAAAACTTTTTAATCTAATTAGAATTTACTTATGATTCAGTAGGTCTCCAAATCATTTCAAAAATTTTAAACTAATCTGGATTAGGAAGTGCTACATAAAATATACTGAAAATATGTACTATGTAACACTTTATTCCATTCAAGTTTTTTCAAATTACATTATTAAACAAAATTTTTTACCTGGAGAGAATATAATTAAGTCTACCTAGGATTTTGATTAATGGTACTTGTAATTTTTGTGGTGCTTGATGCGATCATAATTTAGCCAGTAGAAGAATGCCATTCCAGCAAAAGTTATTTGAAAAAATGGGGCAACAGTAGTACGTTTTGGAAATATATACTTATGCTGATAACGCCACCAAGCTCTTGAAATAGCACTAGCAACTGCTTGTGGAGTCTTCTGGCGACGACCAAACCATGCTCCGAGTTCACCAAGTTTCACTTGTCCAAAAGGAGTATCCTCTGTAATAATAAATCATGCATTATGTGACAAATCAAATTATTAATAAATGTCATGTAAACTACTCCTGTGACGTAACTCATTTGGTATTGTAAGTATTATATTGTACACTAATAATTAACATGCCCCAGAAAAATGAATATTTCCAGTCAGAATGAAAAATACTATGTATTTCTAAATGAGGTTAGATTTAATAAAATATTTTATGCAATAACATAGATGAATGCCGGATCATGTCCTCTAGCGTCTGAATAAAATGCAGTCATTTGATTTCGCCTAGGTTCTTCCAATAATTACCGACAATATAAAATAAATAATAAATACTCACTTGGGCCATAATATTTCGCTGGATCGTAAGATCCATGGAGTTCATAACTGTATTCTTTAGGATAATCTCCGAAACCCATCTTTGCAGATTTACTGGGTTCGAATTTTATATCAAAACTTGCTTTAAATTATTCCAATTTTCCAGTTGCTCTGAAATTGCGGATGTTACTAGCCCGCTATTTCCCCGGAATAGGACAATTATATAACCTGTTTTATGTCAGCTGATTATTTTTCAATTGAGCATGCGCAGAATTGTAGTGTTTTGCGACTTCTGCTCGCATTCTGCCAACCACTTCTTGATTGATAGCGATAGTAGTGTGAACTGTTCCGAAGAAATAACATATGACGGAGTAATTGAATCTTGTACGTAGACGCGAATAATCCGCTAAAATGACGACTCTCACAGCGATTCCGCTAATTTCACGACTATCAAGTAGAGTTATTAGGATTTTAGGATGCAATCCTGGACCGATGACACTTCAGGGCACAAATACTTATCTCGTTGGCACCGGCAACAAGTGAGTTTTCAAGTTGCAATTGGAAAACATCGCTTTAACTATTGACCGTTTGTTAGCTTATTTTAAAACCAATGTCATGTTATTGTACCTGTTCGTTTATTTATTTATTATTTCAAATAAAATTTTTTAATCATTAAATTGACACAATATGTTAACAAGTGGGCTGTTGTGACCTTATAAAAGTCTGAAGCTTTTTTAAGCTGTCTAGAGATATAAAAGGAGCCTGATCAAAAATTCAACCAAAATTTTATTTTCTGTTCAAATTGATTGTAAGAAATTTTAAAACGTTCACTAAATTATAGGCGAGTACTAATAGATTCTGGAGATGAAGACACATCGAGCGAATACACGAAAATATTAAAAGACGTTCTCGTTGAAGAGAATGCAACGATTGAGCATTTAATAGTGACGCATTGGCATTGTGATCACATTGGCGGAGTATCTGCAGTTCAAAAGCTGCTTCAATTGAATGATCCCAAATCCAGTCCTCCTACAGTTTGGAAGTTTCCGAGATCATCTGATGATCTATACGACGAAGACGTAGAGAAATCTCTTGCGGTTTGGACTCCCCTGATGGTAATAATTATATTAAATACATATATCTTTGATGATTATCACAAAGAAAAATATATCAACAGGATAATCAACGTATAGAAATCGAAGGAGCAAAGCTGAAAGTGTCGCACACCCCTGGACACACAACAGATCACGTTTGTCTCATATTAGAAGAGGAAAATGCACTGTTCAGTGGCGACTGTATTCTTGGAGAAACTACAGCCGTTTTTGAAAATTTATATGATTACATATTGTCGCTAAAAAAAATTCTTGGCGAAAATTCTACGTTGATCTATCCAGGCCATGGCCCAGTGGTTTCAGATCCCAATAAGAAGATTCAAGCATACATAGACCACAGAAAAAAAAGAGAAGAACAAATTTTAACCTTCTTAAAAAATAAAAGAAATCAAGAGCCTAGCGACGTGATGGAGATTGTTGAATCTATGTACCAGGTTTTGTATTCAATTTTTCATTTAAATTAAAGGCGTTTATTTAAAGAAAAAGAATAACAATAAATTCCATTTCACATATTTTAGGATACGCCGAAAAATCTCTGGCTTGCAGCTGCTAATAATGTAAATCATCATTTAGAAAAGCTTTTGAAAGAGAAAAAAGTATCTTTCGAAAATGATAAGTGGTCAGTAGTTCATCATAGCTAATTATTCAAAATACACATCCATGTTGTTTTACTTCTATCGATTTGTAAAAAGAAATATTCTTTTATAAATTACACATGAACAAGTAGAATGAACCTTGTGTCAACGGTAAAGAAGCAAATAGTGTCTGACGAAAGACATTATATCTAAGAGATGTTCGTAGCGATTTTTACACTTAAGTGAAAAAAAATTAATTCTTTTTTTAATGAATTTTCATTTCACTTACAAAAATACGTATTACACATATAAAGTATAAAAACAAAATAAAAGCTATTTAAGGTCCTAGTTTTATCTTATAAAAATGAAACTTAACAAAACAACATTATAGGAAATCAGCAAAAAAATGAAAACGTGTAATAAAATTTAAACGTAACATACTGTCTTGATTCCCTTATGATTTGATTGATTTAATAATGTAATAAAATTTGTCTACACCTACGTAAATTCTTTCAATTAAATGTTTCCAAACATTTATTCAATCTAAGAGTATCGACGACATACAAGTATTACAGATGTTTTTGTTTACTTTGAACAGTTGGCTGTTATTATTATATATTACCCCTTTTCACTTCAATCACAAACAGATTTGTGGACTACACATCATGTATTATGTAGTACAGAGAAAAAATCATATCAACAACGTGAACATAAAACTGTGATATTTTCAAAATAAAAAAACGAATAGTATAATATTTTTCTAACGTATTATGAGCTTGAGCGGAGTTTTAAGAAAAAATTGGATCATAATTGTTTTTTTTATGATAGCTAAACTATGTTGATGTAAAACTTGACTGTATAAATATAATATAAATATATAACAAATGTGAACTGTAGAGTTACATACATAAACTTGATATATTTATAAATAAACGGAGGCCGTATTGATAATTTAATAAATTTTAGAAATAATTTCCAATTTAACTGTATTCAGCACCATTTTTTACTTTTTAACAAATAATTACGCACGACATTGAATAATCTATTAAGCTCACTATTTTCCTTTGCGTTTTATGATATCTCGCTTTCTATTAGAGCTAAGTGAATATTTCGAAGCGCACAAAATCACGTACTTCGTAAATACAATATAGATTACAAATAGCATGTTGCCAATAGACAGAAAAATATAAATTTATACATATATTACTTTTTTGGGTAGATGTGAAAAAATATATGTGTAAGCCATTATCTATTATATATCTTCATTTCTGTCTTACTTCTCATATATATAATAGAATATACTTTCAACTCGTAACTTCATTATGATGAAACCAACAATATAATCTGCCATTACTCACTTTTGTCAGTATATTTATGTATAAATATTTACGTCGTCATTGATAACTTCAAAACATGATAGCAAAAGTGAAGGGAGAACATGTTTTGTCAATTGCTCTTTTTCTTGTATATCTCTAATAGGATATTTCTCTTTCTCGCGGACGCTTTTCACCCACCCACAAGTATTCATGTCGCACTCTCTTATATTTGATAATATATTAATAGTAAACAACAAACTGCATTGACCGTTACGATTAAAACAAAAAAAAATTATTAACTAATCTTGAACAGGTTATATTTGATAATAGCAAGAAAAAAGAAAAAAATAAACAAATAACCAAACAACAAGATGATTCATTTAACGCAATGAAATCAAGTCAATAGTATATAGCAAGAGCATTGCATAACATGGGTAGATATAATTATGATTTAGCACTTAACTTTAATAATTGGAGACGTTTCTTGCACACAAAATTTAACGACGACTATTTTTATCTTATTTTAAACCTATTATTTATCATAATCATTTCTTACGCTGACGTCTATTTAATAGATAATGCATAGATCTCAGGGTTTTTGTCGAGATATTAAAAGGCACTACTTTTAAAAATGATCAGACGGCTCTGACGACAGCTGAATAGAAAAATAATTTACAATCATTAATTCTAATAAGTTCAGCACATCGAAGTAAACAACTTTCAAACATCGTATCGCCTTGTTATGTTTATTCTGTTCGAATTATAAAAATTTTGCCATATTTTTCGTTTGTATGATACGTTGCAAATCTTCAAAAATAGCTTCAGCGTTCTCTTTTTTATTTATCCATGTTTAGTTTTCATATAAAATTTTACGAGACTCGACGCTTTAAATGTTTATATTTAATTTCCTTAATATGAGGGATACAGTCACGAATCTCAGTCTGTTTTTTATTAACAATTTTACAAGCATAATGTATAAAGAACCGCTAGTATAGTATAAATAATAGTATATTATGAAAAAATATTATCATATTTAATTTTTCAAAATGGCCAAGAAATGAGGTTTTCCTTTTGAACTTGATTTCACTTAATAATTAACATTTTCAAAAAATCACCTAATTAAAACGTTAATCTCTTAACGTTAAGCGTTAATCTAACTTATTAAATAAATTTTTACAAGAGTATCAATTCAGTTGAAAAATATTCAATTTTCAAGTAGAATTACGAAGTTAAGGTATCACATCAATGACAATAAGTCATCACATAATAATATTTGGACATTCACTGATCGAACAAATGAACCAAACGATTGAAAATAAAAATTTATAAAAAGTAAATAAATTAAATTATACAAAGCATAAGGATAATTTTTTTTTTCTACAAAAATGCATCAATTCTTCAAAAATAATAGTTATAGAAATCAACTCAGATGAATCGATAATTAGAATTAATTCATAAACAAATCATCCGAACAATATATACAATGTTCCATTTGCAATCAAGGTCAACTGTATGCAATTGCCGATTATTTTCGTTTACGAACAACAATAATCAGTACTTGCATCGTGACCAGTTTCATTGAAAAAGTACTGAGTTTCGCTTCTGTACCTCCTCTGCTACGATAATAATCGTACGAAAACAAAAATAACAGTTAGTAAAACACTCAACGACAAAATTGGTGCTTTGCTCATTTACAACAAGACACGTTACATAAGAAATCCATTTTGTGGATCAAAGCAATCGATATAGCTGAGCAATTCTTGGTCAGTAATGATGTCTTGCGTAGCCATGCCGTTGGTTTGTTGAGTCTTGCGTACCATTTGTTGTTGCGGCACTTGCGTTGACTGCGGCAGTTCATTATTTTGTTGCATTGGTGTTTGTGCATTGAGAACTGCTGGGATTCCGTTAGTGGTCGGCACTGTCAAATTTGCCGTTGGTGGTGATTTGCTCGTCACTTGTTCCACTATGTTCTGCTGCTGAGCTGGTGATTTTGGTAGAATTCCCTCCATGGCACTGTTCATCAATTGGGCGCTCTGAAAGTTAATATCGAAATTAATCTTTAGTCGGTCACATTATCTAGGAAACGAGATATTGTGCAGTTAGAAATGGGCAGTTACCTGCGTAGCAACACTGTTCAAGATATTCTTCGTGGCTATTATAGCGTGAGCGGTAGTAGTCTGAATGGGTTTATTGTTGATAATATCCTGAGTGGCGTTAGTTATGACGCTGTTGATAGCCTGCTCAGCAGCAGTAGTAAGCATTTGTTGGCTTGGCTCGGGAGTAGCGGCTAACGCCGAGCTCGCGTCGGCAACGAAACTGGCCGGTTGGTTCAGCATCGAGTCCAAGTCGTTTTGAACCGCTTGCTGCATGACCTGCGCTGCCTGAGCCTGCTGCACTGCTTGCTGTACTGCTTGTACCTGCTGTACTACTTCTTGAGTGGCCTGCTGCACAGCCTGTTGTACAACTTCTTGACTCGCCTGCTGTACGGCTTGTTGTACTGCTGGAGCCGTTGGCGCCTGCTGGGCTGCCTGCACCTTCTGCACTGCCTGTTGAACCACTTGAGCGTGCTGTACGACTTGCTGCACCACCGTCTGTTGGGCATGCTGCACCGTTTGCACTGCCTGCTGATGTGCTTGGGCTACGACCTGTGCCGAAAAAAGAACAATTAGTTTAGAGCTACTTTTCGAGATGATTTTATTTCATTTGTTCCTCAACACTTAAGGATCCAATAAACTAACCTGTTCAACCTGGTGCTGAGCTTCGACCACTTGTTGAACTTGTTGCATATCAACGGGAGTTTGGGAGGCAAGCGCTTGCATAGCCGTAGCAACAGTTGGAATAACTTCGCTTGACACTTGCATTGCATTGCAAGAACTGACACTGACATTTGGACTCACGTTGGTCGCCACGGTGACGATCGGAGGTTCCTGTATAGGCATTAATGCTGCGTTAATTGTGTTCAGAACATCGTTGGGTGTTGGTTCTTGAACTGAGACGGCGACGCTAGTCACTGTGTTGCTTACTATGGGGTCGACACTATAACATTAACAGAGATACATTGTAAGTTTCGTTAATAAGTATTTCCAACGTTTTCTATATTGTTTATTCTTACTTTAATGGAGAAACATTTGTTTGGGACATCAACGAATCAATCAACATATTTTTCACTGGGGGACTGGACGTCTGTTGGGGACTGCTCATAGCATCTTCAACGATGGCAGATACGTGATTGACCATGTTATTGGGACCGACGTTTGTCGATCTGAGGGGCGAAACACCTAATTGATGTGAGTCAATGGCAGAGTTAACGAGATTGTCAAGTGGAGCTACTGGCTCCAGTAGACTCGACGCTTGCTGCTGTCCATTCGCAATTATTGAAGCGCGCACAAAGTTGGCCTCCTAAAAAATGCATTAGATAATTAGAAGAAAGACCAACAGCCAAAATAAGTTTGCCAGAGAGACAAAATGTACCTGAACGTCAGTCTTTTTTGGTGCCGTCTCGATTTGGTTGAGATATTTCTCGATACTGTCGCTGCTTTGAGCCGGCAATGGCTGATCCGCCGAGGTCGTTGCGAAACTGCCCATGCTGCTGTTGCCGATGCCGTTGAATTCGGACTGGTGATGCTTCATGCGGAGGTCCACGACACCAGGACTTGTGATAGCTGCCTCGTTCGTCATAATCGGACTGGAATCTTTGTTGATGTGACGTGGACTTAAAATTTTAACTGACGAAGCGTCGTGGAGCCCATTGAAAGCCGACGGCTGTGGCAATACATTCATCGGATGCTGATTTCTGATGAGATCAACTACGCCGAGTAGCTCTTGAACGGGTGAGCCATTGGTAGCCGTGACACTGGTTTTGATCAAACTATTTTGCATGGAGTCTCGCGAATTTTCATTGACCAATTGTTCCAACGGACTGGGCACAGTCGCGCTATTGGACATGCCAGTCATGCTGTTGTCTCCCATGAGGCTGCTTTGGCTGTTTTCGTCGAGCACCTCGGTCTTAAGATTGTCTGGTAGAATCAGCTGCATACTGGCCGCGGAGGAGCGTCTATTCATGAGGGCATTAGGAGCTACCAAGCTTGGCGGTGGCATCATCACTTCGGCCGAGGCTGTACTCTGATTCGTAGCGCCCATGGCCGACTGGGCGCTCCACATCATCACCGGAGCGACGGGATTGGCGACGGTAACCGGTGGAGGACTTGGATCGCTTTTTAAAACATCGGGACTGACCCCACTGGACGACGTGGCCGTACTTGGTGCTTGAATTGTACTAAGAAAACTCGTTGGTCCTGGCACCGCTGCTGCCGACCCCGCTGTGGCTACTGGGAGTAGCGCTGGAAAAGAATTGAACGTAATTTGACGTCCAAATTCTGCCAGGCAGCCGAATATTATCAGTGTTACGTTTTTATGCAGAAATTTGCGAGTTGCGTTTAAATAGGATTATTCTTATAGGATTTTGATACAACACGAGCTCTCCACAAATTCCTCAAATGCTCATTCATCCGATTGTCAATGATTTCTATACATCATTAGAAGCTTAGTAATATATTTAACAAGAAAATTCATCAAAGGCAATCGGCATCACTTGGCCAAATCTTTGCAAACTTGAGAAGAGGCCTTTCAAAGCTTCACATTATGCTTGTACTGCTTTGTACAATCGTCCCGGTGAATAGCAAAATGAAGTAGAGATTTGATGTCGACAAGTGCGTGAATTATCCTTTGAAAACTGCGATAGAAAGATATGGCTGGGTCAACTTACCATTAGACGTGACGTTACTTGGGACTACCAGCGACGACGAGGTCAGTTTGGAGGTGAGCACAAGTTCGCCGTTGTTGGTGCTGACAGCGGCATTTTCAAGTTTGCCGACCGAGGGTACAGGCGGCGCCGAAGCTGCTGTGTAAACGAAGGTGTGAGGTTCGCTCTTCTTGCCCGAGGATATCGTGTACAACTTGATGTTGATTGTCTCGGAAAGAGCCAAATCTTGTCGCCTGTAGGGTGGAACCACGCAAACAAGGTGGGTCTGTTGGAGGAATTCCTTGTCGGGTAAAACTGTGCATTCCCAGTGGGGCTCGAGCGACGAGCTCAGGTCTTCGCTGTCCAACTGAAAGACGACTCGCGTGTCTTTTAAAAAGTTCTTGCCCAAGATGAATAGCTCCAGGCCGCCGGTGCACGGACACGAGGTTAGTGACTTTTTGCAGATTTCCGGGATACCCGGTGGCTGTGCTGTAATGTCATCATGACAACGATATTTCTTAACGTCTTCGGTATAGTGCTTATTTCAATAATAACACTTGAATGATAATTTTGAACATTTATCAGTCATCAAAACATGAAAATAAATTAAAAAATATGTACAATTATACCTAAACAAATCACAAATTACCCTTTATTGAGGGATTTACCTCTTATTATTACGTTAAACTAATCAAATATTTTTTAAAGTCATTAAATTAAATAAAACGTCGTTTTTTCTACTTTAAAATTAAAATGACAAGATTTTGATTGAAATAGTGAAAAAATTGTTTATTTACTAATGATGTATTAAATTGCCAAAACAAATGTTAACAAAAAAAAAATTCCCAACGAAAATTTTTCGAAAAAAGAATCACAATATCTATTCATAACTCCGTTCTTTCCATATAACTTTCTATATTGAGCGGGTTTTCTTAAAAAGTTCTTTAAATCATCGAACAGAGGTGCCGTGACTTGAAAGTTATTTCATATGTGTGTAATTAATTCCTTTATAGCTATTTTACCAAATATGTGAATCATTAACGGTAGGCTGCCGTTCAGGATGTAACCATTTTCGGATCTTTTACGGTAGATCTAACTTCGTAAAGCTTTTCAAAGATGTTTTAACGTGAAACAGGTTAAAATGGTTCAATTATAAAATAAATAAATAAATAAACAAATAAATAAGCAGTAATTGGTCGGGAGATATTAACACACAGACATACATCCTACGATATTGTTAATTGACTGTTCGAGAAATTCCACTTATTGAAATCTCATTGCGAAAGTTACTTAGCGCGAATTTGGGCAATAAAAAAGATGAGCAGTATACTCACTACAGACAATCGGTTGCGAGCAGACTTGAAGAGTCTCGTTGGTACCGTCGTCGTTGGTAATGATCGAACGGAAGACCATGCGACACCTCGTGGACTTCTTTTTACTGCGACCCTGGAGTATCCCCGCTTCCTGAGGAAAGCGGTGCTCAACATCGACATTGCGTTCCTTGAGTATACCGACGCAGTCGCAGGTGACCATCATGTCCTTGGCGGGATCCACGTCCACCTCGATGACGATGGTGCCGTCGATTTTGCGCTCGACGCAAGGGGTCGAGTTCTTGCCGCTGACTCGACATGCCTGGTAGAACATGTGCGGCGCCACACGACCCAGATCCGTGCCGATGAACACCTGACGGCGAAAATACTCAGCTCACACTGGCGTTTCTTGGCCTGCCATCTAGTCGCCCGCCGACGTAAGTGCGCACATGGAAAAATTGCGGCAGGAATCGCGGCCCACCGTACATTAATTTCGAGCATCGAGAAACTCGGATCGTAGAAGTTGCGGCGCGCAGTCCCGCGGAATTCGCGCGAGCGAGCGATCGACAATATTACGACGACTCGAGATCGAAGTGAGCTTTCATCGCGACGGCCGTCTATAGCCGTAGGGCAA